GTTTTGTGTGGATTAACCAGCAGATTTGCTCCCGTGTGATAACGTCCTGTGAGCCAAACACAGGGGATACATTACAGCTGCTATATTTTCTGATATAATTTCAGTTCACAAAAATATCTGTAATTTTCCTGTAAGGTCTGAAAACTATCTCCCATAAAACAGTATGATTTTGTATCCTCTGAGAAAAAAAGTCACTCTTTCAGGACCTCTTTGGACACATCCAGACTGATTAAAAAGTCCCAGATTTTGTTCCTATTCTTTCTTATTTATAGCTCAAACTATTCTGGGATAAATGAAATGTGCATGGATTGCCAAAATAATATTGGAAAAATTGGAATAAAATTTGGGAAATTTCTGGTCTTTTAAATCAGATGCTTCCAAGTCAAGAAAATGTAATGTTGCAGCTGTTGAAATTCAATCCCTATAACCAATCACTCTTGACTATTTGCTGGCTGGGGCTAATAGAAGATGCATTTCAACAACACTTGAATCACCTACCCATGTAAAGTAGTAGTCAAAGTAATATAACCCTACAGTTGAACTGCAACTCCCAGTATTCCTCACCATTGGCTGTGATGGCTGATGGAAGTTGTAGTCCAAAACCACAAGAAGGTTCATAATTTCCATTCCCATTGTAAATGTCCCTGAACCAGTTTTTGTGCAGCTTTAAGCCTAACACTGTACAGAAATAGTCTACACTTGATCTTAGCCAAAAGGCTGAGAAGCAATAGAAGAAATAATCAAAACAATGAACTTTTAGCCTACATTTTTTTGTATGAGGCTCAATTTTATATATATAAAACACTGCATATTCAGTTTATTTACTGATTTATTTCAGATGGAAACATATATCCATACTGAATTCAGTGGGGCTTACTTCGGAATAGGTATTTATATACCAATCTAATAAATCTGTTTATAGAACTCAACTAATAAAATATTTCTTTGTTGCCTTTCTAGCAAAAAATGTTTTCAAGACAACTTACATAAAACAGGGAAAGCCAAAAATAAACAAACAGACTTCAATCCAGGCCACTACTGCTCCATACAATATCAATCAAGAGCAGATGAAGCAATATATTGATATCAATGAACTGCAGATACAAATAGTTCACAGCAAATTCAGAGTCCATAAAAATAACAAACCATTTAATTCTTCAAATTAAACAATAGTGTACAACCCACATTACAGCCTGGACACCAGTGTTTTGACAGAATCAGTAGGTGATTGTCAGCAACTCCGTTGATGACATTTTACTGGATCAGCTTCAATCTGTGAGTACCGATGATGTGGACAAGCTCCTTGGTAAGGTGAGGAAGACAACCTGCCCTCGCGATCTGTGTCCATCATGGCTGGTCGTCCAGGGGGGAGACACATTGAGGGTATTCCTTCGGGATACCATTAACGCGTCATTCAGAGAGGGCACTGTTCCATCCTTTTTAAAGGAGGCAGCAGTTAAACCCCTCCTGAAAAAGCCTTCCCTGGATCCCCTGGACAGGAATAACTATAGACCACTCTCCTTGTTACCTTTTTTAAGCAAGGTGATTGAGAGGGCAGTTGCTTCCCAGCTCCAAGCTGTCTTGGATGAAACCAATTATCTCGATCCATTTCAAACCAGCTTTAGGACAGGATATGGAGTTGAGACTGCCATGGTTGTTCTGGCTGATGACCCCCGCCTGGGCATCGACAGGGGTAGTGTGACCCTGCTGGTGCTCTTGGACCTCTCAGCGGCCTTTGATATGATAGACCACTCCATCCTCTTGGATTGCTTGAGAGAGTTAGGAATTGGAGGCACTGCCTTGCAGTGGTTCCATTCCTTCCTCTCGAGCAGATCCCAGAGGTGAGGCTCGGGGACAGTTGCTCTTCTAAAATAGAGCTTAATTGTTGTGTCCCTCTGGGCAGCATTCTGTCCCCGATGCTATTTAATATCTATATGAAGCCGCTGGGAGA